TACACACTCGCATTAATTTTTGTCTATAATTAGTATAAAACTTTTTTCTTGGGGTTAGTGTTAAGCATAGACCACGTGTTCAACATTTTTTATTTGGATTTTTAAGTTTTTAACTTTACATTAAAACTTGTAAATTTACTTCTTTTAATGCGTTTTTTTGGTAGGGAGTTAATATTTTTCTCTTGTGAATAATTATTATTTAGTGTTAAATTTTCTGCTGAATTTGATGGTAGAGATCTTTTAATATCTCATGAGCCGCGAAATGCGCGAAAGGCGTGGCGTATCCCCATAATTCTTCTAATAAATAAGCACGTTGTGAAAACATTGACTCAGAATTAGAACACGTGCCTCATTACAACTAGAAATGAACTAAGGCGCTCGGGCATCAATAAAGTCAACTGGCGAACGTTCGTTATATATATTTTTATTGTTTAAATTAAAATAATAAAGAATAGGGAATTTTATTATGATATTTGTAATCGGATCAAAGGCTTGTTTACGCTAGAGCTCGAGAGAGACTGTGAATAATAGGTGTAATGTTTTTAGGACGTAGAATAATTTAGGCGACGGTCGGAATTATGTTTCTGCGCATATGAAGGTCAAAGCTCATAAGATTTTAAAACATCTCTAGCAAAATGTTATTTACACTTCCATCACTGTGTTAATATTAATTAATGATTCATTCTCTGATTTATTTATACTTCTCAAATTAGATTTAAATATATTAGGGACAGCGAATTTAATTAGCCTACTGAAGTTTGAATTTGAAATTTTTTTTTGAGAAAAATGTTCACCGCACAAATACATTTTGGTAGTAGTAAAATTATTTTTTTCTTTTAATGTTGTGTTCATAGTGCTAAACCATTTTCTTATTTTTTCAAATTTATAGGAAAAGTAAAAAATGATTTGTGCGGCCAACAAAATATTTGTTGCTGCAATGTGGATATCTACATTTGTATTTAAAATGTGTTTTATTGCTTGCCATCACAAACATATAAAAGATCACTATTCATTTAATTTAATATGTACAGGGTCGGAAAGTCCCCATGGTTCATCGGCCGTTACGTGAGAGCGATAAAGAAAGTCATAGAAATCCGTGCGACAGAGAAAGATGGCTATAATGAAGGCGTCTAATAGTTACCGCCCATTTCGCCCTTCCACAAATAAGATCCACTTCTTATGGTATAGCCTAAATACAGCGACTTATAAACGAGTATATATTTTGCAGTTGTTAAGTCGGGTTTTACCAAAGGTGAAGTTGAAGACTCATAGGTTGACATATTACATTTTAAAGACTTTATACTTTTGTGCTCATCCTGTGTTAATTTGCGCCGTATATTATAAATTTTGTGCTCTGTTCGTTTTGAGAAATTTTGAACACTGCAGTGAGTACCTACTTGACGTTTCGAGTCATAGAATTAAACAAATTTAACTGTTTGAATATTTTGTGCTTATTCCCACTAAGGACGGCGACGTACGATATTAGAGAAAGTATAGGCCCTAGAAAAAATGTTGATGAATAAATCGACCAGGAGAAATCGCTGGAAATAATTTTTCAAGTCCGTAGCTCGGCCGCCAGGGGGCGTAATTTACATACTCTAACATAGAGTTGAATTTTTCTCAGAAATGTTTCCTATTCAGCTATATTCTCCTAATGTCTGATCAGAAAATTGCATTTTTCTGATCAGACATTAGGAGCTTCCCCCACCCTTCCTGTCAAGGGATAGAACAAAATGTCAATAACAAAAATTATGCGCAATGAATGCTATCCATATTTGTACTATTTAATATACCTGAATAGGAAACATTTCTGAGATACAATCAACTCTGTTTTCGTATGTAGATTGCGCCAAAATTTTTTTCCCGAAGTTTTAGGGCCTATACTTCCCCTAAAATCAAATTTCGCCGACCTTAGTGGGCCACCCTGTATTATAAATGCCCTGTTCATTTTTTAATTCATCTTTGGTCGATTAGACAAAAATGATCCGTATTATAGATTTATTTGACTTTAATATTAAAACAGAACAAAAAAGATGTAAGCAGATATCTTTCGTAATACGAGTAAATTATTAAAACTATAGAAACATGTAGACTGTTACATACAGTTACAATAAACAAGATAAATTACAATTTGCATTATTTGATTTAATCATACTGTTTCACCGTTAAAAATGAAATGTGTATGAATTTTATAAAATACACACCAGAAAAATGTTTCCAATAGTGTTCGTTTTATCATGTCTTGATATCGTATCGTATGTTAACAATTACAACACTAAGGGCGGTAGCTGCATAAAATATCATGGTATTTGTCTTCAATCCACTAGATGCTACAATAAAAAAACAAAATTCTGTTTCATCGTTGAATATATAACAAAGAAACATTCAACACTACAATTTTTGTTTCCGGGTCCTTTATTTAAAATCATCATCTTTACTTCTTTATATCAATCATAATAAAAATACGTCTAACTCATAACTTTATAGGCACGAATGGTTAAATTTGAGGCAATATGTAGGTAATAGATATAAACACTGCTTCCATCAAAACATTACAATTTGGGAAGTCCTTCAGTTTCCCTATCTTCCTTTCCTTGATATCTTCGTATGGGATTTATTTTAAAAGTAATTTGCCTTGACTTAGTGTAGAAAAATAAGATTTTTAAACTTAAAAGTTTTTCCAATAAAACAAAAAAGACGGGTAAAAATTTACACAAAATTTATTCTATTTTTGGTCCAGGGAAGTCCGCACTAAGAAGGGAAAATGTACCCCACTGAAGGTTGGTAAACTTTACAAAAATACTTTGGTAATGTAGGTATTTTAACAAATATTAGGTAGAATGTACTTGTAGTAGTGTAAATCTGGTATAATCGAGTTACTACATGTAATGTAGATTTTCAAATGTTAGTCTTATAAACTACACCACCTGGTGTAAATTTTAATCAAAATTGTGTGGTGTAACTGATATATAGTATTTCAGTAAAATGAGCCACTTTCAGTATTATTTCAATCTAAAAAAAATCCCTCTAAAACGTTATATTATTTATTATTGAACATTTATATTCACAAAAAATATGTAAACATTTATTTGTTACTAAATAGGAAATATAAAATTATCTTATATTATTAATTAATTTAAAGGAATATATATATAT